GTGTGACTCTTGGAGAAAAAGAAAATGATCACTAACCTTTTTTGTGGGCATCTTGAGTTTCAGAAATTCTGCCTCCCGGCACAAAACATTCCAAGGTGCATGTATTTTTACAAATCCAACCCCATGTATTTTAGTCTAAAAAAGGAAGAGAGACAATAATTCAGATGAAATAAAATAAGATGCTATTTTTTTTCCGGTTTCATACACATTGAGGAATCAAGTAGTCCACAACAGACAACATTATAAATCTCGTTTGTTTAATACAAAACTGGGAAACAACTGCTTCTAAATACCTACAATATTATCATTGAATAAATCATCTGATTTACTGTCCACAAGGTGCTCAAACCACAAATATGAAACATCATTGTCCTCCAACAAAATAATTATCCCAAGGTAGAAAAATTACCTTATTTTAAAGTGAGAAAATAAGAGTTGTTTGGAAAATGAAAGGTATTTGCTATGGACAAGAAAAATATACCCAGTCATTCACATTTGAATCAGACAAGAGTATGTCTACACTGCAATTAAAAATTCACAGCTGGCCCATGCCAACTGACTTGGGCTTTCAGGGCTCACAGGCTAAGGGACTGTTTAACTGTGATGTACATGTTTGGGCTCGTGGGGGGGCTGGGCTGGGCTGTAGGACACGGCGAGGTGGGAGGGTTGTAGACATATCCAAAAGGGCCTGAGCCTGTGAGGTTTGAGCATCTTGTGCAAGGTGTTAAATGGATTTATGTAAATGCAGTTGAGGATAGTCAGCAGCGTCTCACAGCATATGCTCAGAACCTCTAAGGCTCAGAATGACAGTCTTCTTGTAAGAAAGAAGCAAAAATGAGTCATCTGCAGAGCTGTTGTATACATCTGAGCTTAAATGGTAAACTTTTATATTAATACTACAGAAAGATTTATAGGAAAATATCCAATTTCTTCATACATTGGTCAGGATTCTTCCCTGCATTAGGGCCACTTTGTACTGTATGGCTGATGTAGCGGTCCTAAAGCCAGCATAGCTGACTATGTGAAGAGTTGGTGTAATGGTTCCTATAACAATCCTGCCCCCGGCCCTCCAAATGCTAGCATAGAGGGGATGGGCTTGGCTGTCCCTGCTGAATTGTGCAGAGTTGGGGTTCATTCATCTTTTCTATTATACAACATATTTTTAACAAAACACATTTGCTCTCAGTGGCGTGTTCCTCACTACCCCCAGTAGTGATTCAGCTGCTGAGAGAGTTCATGCTTGCAGCTTCTGAGCTGCATATATGGAGTGCAGTATGTAACTGCAAAGTGGAACAGACAGGACATGCCAATGCATTTCACAAGAGCAGACCGGTGACATTTGATTTGAGGCACACTGCTAGGCTTCAAAATCAGCAGTTAGCATTAAGAGGAAGCCATGGAGCTCATTAACACATACAGACCACAGGAATTGCTCCCATCTATTTTCTGCCTTCCTTTGGCAGCCAAGTTTACAAGTAATATTTGGGTCTTCAGATATTTTTGTAGTGTGTGACCTAAAAGCTGCGGAGAAGATTTGACTTCCTTGTTGAAGTACCTACTTGCCTCATCTCTGGCCTGCACATAAACGGAGGAGCTTTCACATGAACAGCTGTGTTATCTATGTGCAAAGGCAAGTAAGTCTGCTGAGAATTTTAAAGCCAGTAGTACAGGTATTTGAAAAACAGGAATCTTCAAAAGCATAACCACGCTCTTGTAACACTGACAGCAAGGAAGAACCTGGGGTGATTCCATGCTTTCGAAAGTATATATACTCACAAAGATGACAGATAACAGTATTGGGCCTTTTTGTTCCCGTGTGCAGTGGAAGTGCTGGAAACTTCAAATATGCATGAGGAAAAAAATGCCTTCCTCCTCCTTCCCCCCAAAATAGAATGTTGTCTAGATGCCATCATGCCACTGAAAAGGGGAATCCTAGGAAGGTGTGCAACGAGCAAAAGAAGAGTGCCTTGTCCGATTCCTGTGCTTGTCATCCTCAGCCATGTGCGGTAGAGATTTTCCAACACTTACAGCCACCTGCGATCCTTCAGGCCCTTGTCGGATACACATGTATTTAAATGTACATTATATTGTGATAGTCGTTTTCTCCCCTTACCAGTTCAAAGAATTAGAGTGAATGGTTCTTATTCATCAGACCAACAGGCTATTCCATTTAAACTGAGGTATAGCTTTAAACAGCAAAAGACTTCAATCTTTCTGGCTTTATCTTTCCATTCTCGCTGCTGTACTTGCTTATGCAAGTATAAAAGCTTGTTTTCAGCCTGCAATACTCTGCACCTACTTTCTGGAAATGCATTACTCAGGGGACATAAATAGTTGCCATCCTCTGATGTGTCATAGCTTCAAAAACATTTATGAGTTAACTTCACAGAAGAGAGTTTAAGCAACTTAATATAGGTCTTCCTTTTAACAAATGCTCACTTTTACTAATATTAAAGATCTGCAGTGTGACTTCATGGCTCTCCCAATAATGCCTTTCAGAATCAAGCAAGTGGCTGCAAGCCTTTTGCCTTACACTCAAGCTTTGGACATGAAAGTTGATGTAGATCCCTGTGGCTCTCATCTCTGTACATTTCTTTTCTGTTTTGATATCTTGTATTGAGAGGACAGTGTCCCTCAGGACGGGTATGCATGATGTCCTAGTTTGAACTCAAAGACCTTCAACATTATTTAAAGTAGTATTATGTGTCATAGGTGGGGACACCCTGCCGTGTAAACTATTTTAATCTGCATGATTTGGCACAAAGAGATTGCCAATCTACTATGGTAGTTTGCAAATTAGATGGAAGGCTCTTGTTACTTACATTCGGGAATATAGAACCTGAAATGGAAACTCATTTCACTTTTCCAGGGTTTGTCCTATCTGTACATTCGTGAATGTTTAATGGACATATTGAGGATTTTTTAATGCACAGATCACAGATTTAAGACCCAGCTTTTAGATCTTGTAAATAAAACTTACAAAATGTTTACCTTCTCCCTCTGCAACCTCAGGCATATTGACTGGATCAGTTAATTAAAACAGAGTCGCTTCCTTTGAAATGAATCTGACCATGGCTATCTCTCTGCTAATCACACTGGCAGCAGATCACAAACACCCCCAATCATTTTACATAGTCAAACAGTCTTTTAATAGAATACATTGTTTTTGCTGTGCAGGTGAAAGGAGTTATGTACAGCATCACTGATCTCTAATTATAGTGGAAGGATGAAATAACATCTGAAATCCGCACTTAATCTAGACCATTTACACAAGGCCCCCATGAACAGATTTCATTCCTTTGGAGGCTAAACTGAAATGTGACAATTTCAGTGTAAATAGCTCTTTTTCAAACAGATTGGAATTACAGGTGGGCCCAATCCACAGAATTTAGATGCAGTTTGGATATTGACCAAAGTTCAAGGGGTGTTTGAAGCTGGAGTTTTTTTTTCAGGCTCAGTTTTAGCTGTAATATTAAAGTGTCAGTGACTTCTGTTATAATAAAGGAGATGCCATAACATGAACTTTCAAGAGATAGTCCTAAAATGAGAAACTTCAGATCTAGGTCAATAGTTTAAACACACCAATAGAAAGTTGTTCAATCTAAGGGTTAGGTCAAATTCACATCTTGATTTTGAACAGTCCAAAAAGTTCAGGGATGTTCATATCTCAGGGTTTGATGTGGGTCCATCTTAAGAACTTTCAAAAAGTCTCTTAAATTACAGATTTAAAAAAAATTCTACATATTTTAACAAGGAGGCTAATTAAGAAGAGTACCATGTAGATCAGTTAAAGATCACTTTTAGCAATTCCATGACAATTTCCCCCCCCCCCCATGTCTGTATTAATGTTTTTGCTGTTTTAAAAGCCCATGATGTTCAGAAGCCTAACTCTGAGATGTATTAAATACTGTAATAATTGACACTGGTCACCTCTTCTATACCTTCTCTCCTCCTCCACTCCATTTTTGTCCTCAGTTCCTCTCCAACAGAGGGGAGAAAGCTATGGCTAGGACAAACCCATAACAGGGGTACAATTAGAGGGAAATACTGAGTTCCTGAGGGAGAGAAGGCAGGATTTGCAGGCCTTGGGTAGGAGAAAGGGCTCTCCAAAATATATGGATATCCTGAGAGCCGCTGAGAAAACTTACACACGTCTGGCCATCTGCAAAGATGTCCAGGGCATTCACTGATGGCTGGCCCTTCTGTGGTACTCCCCTGGCTTCTCTCTTTCCCCAGCAGTAGGACTCCCTCAGGAACTATGCCTCTCTGCCACCTTGTTCCTTCCCCCCCCACCCCCGCTATCTCTCAGGGGCGGGAGGGGAGGGGTGTCATAGACAATAAGAGACAGGTCCTGCGGGATGGTGGGGCTTAATATTAATAGGGTCAGAACTCATTTTCATGGGAATTTCTCAACTGGTTTGTCTTGGGACAATGCTAGATAAAGACTTCTCCATGCCACTGTCTGGTCACCCTCCCACCCCAACCCACAGAAACCTGTAGTGTCTGCATGGAGGGCCTTGTGTGGAGTAAGTGAGAGGAGAGTGTGTGAACAACTAAGGGGATTCCATTCAGCCCCTCCACACCATGAGAAGCTATATATGCTACTGTCCTGAATGTGTTCACAGTATATTTGCTTGTTTAGGCCATGAAGTTGATTAATGCTATGGACATTATATACAATATGAATAGCTGAGAGAATCTGAATATTGCTACTGAGCATATAGAGTAACATTTTCCCAGTGGTTTCAAAATGTGCTATCAGTTTGTGTTATATTACATTTATGAAGAAGCAAAAGTTATATCCTATTATGCGAAGACAAAAATTGAGGTAAAGTGTACTCTTCTCACAACTATTAGGGTTTATTTGTTACTGCTCTCAGCTGACATATCAGGCTCTTTGGGGCTGTTGATACCTATCTTAGTTTAGTGCAGACTTCAGGCAGTTAAGATCTAGAAGTACATTACACTTGTATACTCGTATCAGATTTTTCTAGAGAAATATGGGTATCTGCCTGGAAAATGTCAGATAAGACAGTTCTAGAAGTGCTCCAGTTTTATTCTTCACTGAATGCTCAGATAAATTCAATTCCTGGACGATGAAAATGCAATGAGAAGCCTGCATCGCATGTTTTTTTCTTGAGAAATTAAAATATGAATTTAACTTTTTTAAACATTCACTTTTATATACTGGGAGATCGACTACACTATGGGCTGACCCGGTGAGTTGCTGAGATGACTGGTATGAAAGGGAGTTGAGGGTGCTACAAAAAATAAAGGCCAAATACTGAGAGGCCATGAGCATCTGTAACTCCCACTAGAGTCAACAGGGGTTTCAAGTTCTCAGGAACTGCTTGATATTTCTCAGTATTTGGCCCTTACTTATCTTATTAAGATAGAGTTCAAAAGTTTATTTACATCTTCATCTCTTTCCAATTCCAGACCAGCCTCCATGAGGTTGCCTTCATACTCCTCTCTGCGGAATCTCTTATCATCTTCGTGATAGTCCATGTGAAGCTCACTTTCTCCCACGTCAAGGTGCCCGCCCTTCCCAGGAAGCTGATGATCCTGTTTGATACTTCGGGCACTTGAATCATTGTGATGAATTCGTCTAGTGAGAGTCTTACTGATTGAGGATTTCTTGTAATGGTAAACCAAGATGTAATCCACTTTCCTCTTGCCATCTCTAAAACAGAGTCCATGTTTGCAGTTGGCATCTGGATCCTGACACAGCGAATTTAATAACTGTGAACAATGGGGGAGGGAAGAAGAATAATTAGTACACTTGCAGACAAGGACACCAAACAAACCAAACATTAAAAGAAACCACATTCACATTGTTTCTCCTTGTACAGAGCAGAGAACATCTTATCTCAAACACATGAGAGTTTGAGGACTGCCTCCTGTGCCACTTAGTCAAAGATTTTGCAAGTTAACACCTGCAATTCTGTTGATTGACCAGTTGGAGTCTTATTGGTCAGAAATAAATAGATAAAATGACTGGGATTTAATCTAATTACCAGCACTCTAGTTCATAAGTGAGCTACTTGGTGGGTTTGATTTTCCCCCTTTGTAGGCTAATCTCCAGTAAGATCATCTGTCCTTCACCAAAGACATCTGTGTTTTAATTCTGATAAACAGATTAATTTCATGTGCAAACATTTCTCACTTCTCTTATCTATGGCTGCAAGTTTGCATCATCTGAGAAAGAGATCAGCTTAGCTAGAGACTAACAGGAGCCAGCTGGCTACGTATTGGAGCCAAAAATGCAAGTGGATAGTAGACAGGGAACCGGGTTCAGTCCTTGCTTAGTTTGATTTTTTTTCTCATGTACAGCCCATGTCTCTTTGCAATTTGATGGTAACAAAGGGATGTACTCCAGACTGGAATAATTCACTGCAAATTAAAACCTATTTACACTGGTATTCCGAGATGCTAGAAACTCCATTTTTGAAACTGCAACTCCAGTAGAACCCTATATCAATCATTTCTTTATTAATTCTAGACTCAACAGGGTAAATACAAAAAAAATAATATTAATAAAATATTAATACATAACACTATTTATACGCCTTTCTCATACATTGCGTTTCTCACACAATGCCAGATTCTGCCTTTGGATGTGCACACATAACTACAAGGGGAGAAATTGGCTAATAGATTTTACTTGTTTTCACAGTAAATACTAATGGCAGCAGTTACACTACAAAGGTTCAGGGGCTCTTGTTCATTTTATGGCTTTTAATTTAGCAGGCAGAATTTTAAGGCAAGAAATACGTTCCTCTGTAATAAATTGCTGGTGCAAATGGAAGCAATTGGCCATCAGTTGCAAATCAAAAAGTTCAATGTCCAACTGCAATATGTGCATCTGCAGTTTGTTTGGTACATAAAACAGTGGATGCAAGCATTTGGGGGAAACAAAATTGTGTTCACAAAGAGGCCATCCTCAAATGAAGAGAGCTACATATTGTTACCATTTTTGACCTGAGTGGCTAGTCAAAGTTTGGGGCCCTGGGATGTCCCAGTTGGGAGCAGAAATTGGTAACAGATATTTCTTTGATGCAGTTTTGTTTATTTACAAAAAATGTGCATAGTCCAGTGTCTCTAAATGCAAAAGGAATCAAATAGCAGGAAACAGTTTCTTTTGCTCATAAACATCAAAAACACTCTTTTCAGCCTGCATCCCTGACTGAAAAACTCCTTCCAGGGTCAGACACCCTGCTTTGAGCTGCTCCTTTTGGCTCTCTCTCTGTCTGTTAGGCCATTTCTACATTATAGATGCTACAGTTGCATAGCTACATCACCATTGCTGTGCCACCATACTGCTGTAGTGTAGTGGAGTCAACAGTGATGGGAAGCATTCTTCCACTGACCTAGCTGTGTCTACACCAGGGATTAGGTCAGGATACCTAAGCGCTCCGCTATGTTGACCTAACTTTAAGTGTAGACCAGGCTTCTGTCTCTCCCTGTTTCGGTCTGTTCAGCCTTCTCTCCTTCCTTCCACCCACACCAGACCTAAAACAACACTCAGCAAAAGCTCCTAGGTGGGTTCACATATGCCTTTTGTCTTAGGTGAGGGGCTTATCTTTACAGTTATGTTAATTGAAGGATGTGGTCATACCATATGGTGAGGTTTTAATTCAAAGTATTACAAGGTTTGACCCTGCTCATAACATTCAGAGTGCAATTAATTACAGCCTACAATAGACTCAATATTAAGTTCTTAGGACCAGATTAAAACAAAATCCTTCAGGATGCATGAAAAATACGTAAATTCTGCTAAAAGGTCAGTTTTTATTGGAATGGGTAGGCTGATTTAAAGAGGCTTCGTCCCCGCTTCCTCTGATCCTGCACCAGAAGCACCTTCCACATATTTAGGGCTTCTTGGGTCTTGTTGAATGTGGCCCAAGTACATCTCTTTCTGCAGTATCAACCTACTGTCCTTCAAACCTGCAGGAACCTGCTGTCTTAGAACTCCTCCTGGGATAGGGCAGTTCCATACTTTCTCTAATGTAAGCCAGTGCCTTCAGGGGACAAACTGGGCCCAAGATTTTTGCCTATTATTAGGCCAAATTCTGAAGTCATTTACACTCAGGCAATATTCTGACTTTGGCCAGCAATTCCCAATCTGCCCGAGTTGGAAGGGAGCCGATAAATACTTTAAATAGGGAGCCAGGCTGGGGTGACCAAACAAAAGTCTCTCTTGGTTTACAAGCATAGTAATAACATAGCTAACGGTAACAAGATATAATTTACTCATTGTTCATTTGTTGATGAGGGAAGAGCCCAGATGGGATCACTCCTCTCCTCAGCATCCCCCTGCAAGAACACCATTCGGACATTCGGTTTTCAGGGGGCAATTAAAAAATGTGCAGATTTTGTGACAGAAAAATATTCTGGGATACAAAATACTTCAGTCTTCATGCAGTTAAACCTCTTAAGTGCAACAGCCACTCTCAAAAGGCCTGGGAACTCTGAGGATTCCATCAAGATCACTGTCTCATTTAATTTTGAAAACTTGGGGTCAAATGATGAATTCCTCAATAAAATGGAGTCTGGTCTAAAAGGTAAAAGTTAGGGCCTGATCCTATGAGCACCTACTATTCCCACAAAGTGAATGGGACTTTCTGGGGTGCACAGTAACTATCAGTGGGCCAATTCTGAAAAGTGCCGAGTGTCTTCAATTCTTATTGAAATAAATGGGCTAGACTGTGGAAGTCACAAAGAAGCCATTTTTCAGCTCCCAGGTTCTGTAGCCAGTTCTGCATGGGATCAAGCAGATGGTTCCAGCAGATTAGAACAAGTGTGCCAGTTGTTTATGGCCCACACTCAATGGGCCACCTATTATCTGGAGATCATCAGAGAGCAGTGCACTGTGGCCACACCTTTCCCTACCCCCAGAACAAGTAGGGGTGGCAAAGGATGGCATAGAAGATTATTTGCTTTCTGGTCCCTTTTAGCCAGCAGAAAGGGGACAGATTGCATTAAAGAATCTGGCCCAGTGGATGATGAGGACCAGTAGCACTTCTCTCAATTGGGCTCTTCCTTTGCAAACTCCATTTGTATTTCAAATGTTTGTTTTTAAATCTTGAGAGATTGGAGTCTTTCCATAGTTAAGGTTGCCTCTCTCCCTCCCTCCCTCACACTCACACACACACACACACACACACTTTAGAGAATAATTCTAATGGAAATTTTCACCTTAATAAAAACAGATGTTGTTCACTTTGGGGGGTGGAGGGGAAGGAATGTTGTAATGGTTTTTGTCATGTTATTTCCCCCAAGCAGCATGGTCAACTTACTTAAAATGTGTTTTATTCCAGAGTGTTTGGTGAGCTCTAGTGCATATGTTTGGATTGGACAGTACAGATGGTTTAATTTTAGAGTCATTCACAAGTGATTTGCTAAGGTTTAAGAACTGCACCAGTGCTCCAAAAAAGCATGGGAACAGCACCAAGAGTCAGAAACAGAATGGGAACTGTACTGAGGATCCAAAAAAGCAGGGAAATGTGCCAATGCTCTAGGGTACAAAAAAATATGGCTCCTTCCTCTCTCGGTCCCAAATGGACTCACATTTGTACAGCTTTCATTCCCACATGATCTTCTATGGAGATTATAAGCACTGAAAGGATTCAACCAAGTATTTAAGCAGCTCATGTGCTCATTTCATTTTCTAAGCCCAACACAGAATCTAATTGATCTTAGAACTTGTTAAAATCACTGGGACAGGGAAACACAGAGACAAACACCTCCCACCCCACAGCTCAAACACAAGTCTGGGTTAATATATCAGAGACATTGAGATTCTCAGCTCTGTATCCCCTCTCCCTCCCTTCCTTCCCCCCTCCCCCTGCCCCGCCCCACCCCCGAGTCCTACTTAAACTGTGGTAAAACCTGATCGGTTAAGGACTTTAAGAAGTCCATAGTCTTGGCCTCAATACAATTTCTACAGTATGAGGATATCATGAAGTCCACATCTGAACTGGCAAGGTGGAAAGATTTTAAGAAGCTTGCAAGTACAGCTTGGAAGAAATATTGGTGCCGTTCTATTAACCAAGCAGCTACACTCCTGTAATCTATAATATAATATCATTTATGTACTTGGGGGAGAATACACAGTTCCACATGGCAAGTATATCAGGAATTTCTTGCTATAATGCTATTAAAATGCTAAGGAAATTCCCAAACCAATAACTGCATTAACCTGGAGTTAAAGTTGAGAAGATATTGGTAGGCCATATCCTCATCGGATATAAATCAGTGTAGCTAAATTGAAATAAGCAGACCTATGTAGATTTACACCAAATGAGGATCAAACTGCTCAATCTAAAGGTAAAACCACTAAAGGGACATTTTAGTTTTAAATCCCCACACTTAGGAGGCTGTTCATGCGCTATTCTTCACTCCCAAGTCAATTCCAATTAAGTATTCTTTCTCCATTGTGGAAGATAATATTCTATTTCTACTACAATTGCCTTGATCATTTAACATTGTTGTTTCAGCCCTTCTTAACCTCTATTCCCTCATCTATTATTATTAATTTGTATAACCATAGTGCCTAGAAACCCTAATCATGGACCAGGACCCCATTGTACTACATGCTGTACAAATAGGAAAAAAAAAAAAAAAAAAAAAAAAAATCCTGCAAAAAAGAGTTTAAAATCTAAGTATAAGACAAGAGATAACAGATGGATACAGACGGACAAGGGAATTCAAGGAAACAATGAGACAACATTGATCAGCGGGATAGCAGTGGTATCAACACACCTATACACATTCTGACCTTTTACATGTATTTGACATTACTGATTCCTAACCACCTGGGCATCTACATTACAACATTTAGAGATTACTCCAGGGGTATTTAAGGTACAAACATTCTAATTAAAAAATTTAATGAAGGCATAACAAACAACAGTGAAAATCCATTCAGACAACAGGAATCTATACTGCAAGTTATTGGTGTAACATTATCAATGCAAGCAGATGTGTAGCTTTTGGGTGCATATTTTTAGACATTTAAGGGTTCTCTTCAATACAGCCACACAGATTCAAAAAGCTGCCATTGCCTCGTTTGCTGGTTTGTTTAATCTGGTAATAAGCAGCCCTTTATATGATTTAGCTCAAATTAGGATCCCTCAATCTCTTCCACTCCCTTCCTCCTATATATGAGTCAACACAAACCCTTTAAAGTTGCCTGTATTGTGGTTGCTGGTAACTGTTCACATCTGACAAGGAATAGTGCAGAACTCACACTATCCAAATCCCCAAACATATATTTTTAACATTTATATATTTTTGCAGCGGGGTGATGGTGCTGAGAATAAAAGCACTCGGATTCCAGGGCGATGAGTCAGGGTACAAAACCCCAGAAGATAAGTACCATCTAATAACTGCTCTACTCACTGTACTTTCACGCTGGATGTATCCGATGTCTTCAATAGCTCGGATGTTGATAATATGAATCCCCTTCTCCTCAGCAGGTAGAGAGGAATATTTCTCATTCACTCTCATTGCAGTCTTATTCAGAGCCTCACCAAGATCTTCTGGCAGAAATTCCACCCCATGAAATGCACTGTCAGTGTCTAAAAGAAAAAGGAACAGGTTGGTCTAAACACTTTCATCCCAGTCTTAGTCCCTCCCAATGTACCCCATCTGAAACATAACCAGTTCTTGCCTTTCTCTGCCCCGCCTTCCTTCTCTGTTCCCACCCTTTGTTGTTCCTCCCCTCTCAGCCTTACCTCCTGCTACCCTGACTGTGCCCTCAGCTCTTTCCAGCTCCCTTCTGGATAATTACTTAAATTGCTTTCTACAGTGCTTATTAAAACTCAGGATGTGTTTTCTAATGGTCTCTTCTCAGCCCCATAGGGACTTGAATACATTTTAGTTAAAAATAAAATTATTCTGCACATTTGCAGCAGAGTGGATGTTGCATGCCATTTTCCCATTGTACAGTAGATTTTTTCCCCCCTATGTTGGTTACAAGGGACTCCACATTTTTTACCTAAAAGGCAAGGCCATCATTTTGGGGGAGCATTTTCGTACAGGAGCTCTGCTTGCAGTGCACATCCTAGCCCCAGGCAGAGCTCTTAACTGCAGCACAGCCTGAGTGTGAAATGTGAGTTCTGCAGAGGAGAGGTGCTGCTCCCAGCTTGTGCCCCTGGGGCAGGGAGTCCATATTTTGTTTACAAAAAGAGGCAGGGTGATTAAGATAAGAAAGAGCTGGTAATTAAATTAAGCATCTGGAAGCCCTTATATGAGCCTATAAAACAGGAACCCCTTTGCAAGGGGCTTGGGGGGGGCAGTGTTGAAGACAGAACACAGGAGACTCAGGGTATGTCTACACTACGAGAGTAGTTCGATTTTAGTTAAATCGAATATGTGCAATCGATATTAGAAAGTCGAACGTATGTGTCTACACTAAGGACAGTAATTCGACTTTGTCAGTCCACACTACCAGGGAAAGCGTCGACATTGGAAGCAGTGCACTGTGGGCAGCTATCCCACAGTTCCCGCAGTCCCCGCCGCCCATTGGAATTCTGGGTCGATCCGCCAATGCCTTCTGGGTAAAAAAATGTGGCGAGGGTGCTTTTGGGTAACTGTCGTCATCCGTCAGTCACTACCGCCCTCCCTCCCTCCCTCCCTGAAAGCGCCGGCGGGAAATCAGTTCGCGCACTTTTTGATCAGTGACAGCGCGGACGCCACAGCACTGCGATCATGGATCCCGCTGCGACCATCGCTGCAGTTGTGGCCGTTCTCAACACCTCGCAGCTTATCATACACCTTTCCCTGAGGCAGATGCAGAGAAATCAGGCGAGGAGGCTACGGCACCGCCGTGAGGGCCTGAAGTCGGAGAGTAGCACAGAGCTGTCAGAAACCACGAGCCCCAGCGCCCAGGACATCACTGTGGCAATGGGGCATGTGGATTTTGTTGAACGGCGATTCTGGGCCCGGGAAACAAGCACGGACTGGTGGGACCGCATAGTGCTTCAGGTCTGGGATGAATCCCAGTGGCTGCGAAACTTTCGCATGCGGAAGGGGACTTTCCTCGAACTTTGTGAGTTGCTGTCCCCTGCCCTGAAGCGCAAGGACACCCGCATGCGAGCAGCCCTGACTGTCCAGAACCGAGTGGCCATAGCCCTCTGGAAGCTTGCAACACCGGACAGCTACCGGTCAGTCGCGAACCACTTTGGCGTGGGCAAATCTACTGTGGGGGTTGTTGTCCTGCAAGTAGCCAAGGCAATCGTCAAGGTACTGCTGTCAAAGGTAGTGACCCTGGGAAACGCGCAGGCCATCATAGATGGCTTCGCTGCGATGGGATTCCCAAACTGCGGTGGGGCTATAGATGGGACTCACATCCCTATCCTGGGACCGGGCCACCAGGCCAGCCAGTACATCAATAGAAAGGGCTACTTTTCAATGGTGCTGCAAGCACTGGTGGACCATCAGGGACGGTTTACAAACATCTACGTCGGATGGCCGGGCAAGGTTCATGACGCTCGCGTGTTCAGGAACTCTGGTCTGTTTAGACGGCTGCAGGAAGGTATTTACTTCCCGGACCACAAGATAACTGTTGGGGATGTGGAGATGCCTACAGTGATCCTCGGGGACCCAGCCTACCCGCTAATGCCCTGGCTCATGAAGCCCTATACTGGGGCCCTGGACACTGCACAAGAACTCTTCAACTACCGGCTGAGCAAGTGCAGAATGGTGGTGGAGTGTGCTTTTGGCCGTCTCAAGGGGAGATGGAGAAGCTTACTGACTCGCTGTGATCTCAGCGAAACCAATATCCCCATCGTTATTGCAGCTTGCTGTGTGCTCCACAATCTCTGTGAGAGCAAGGGGGAGACCTTTATGGCGGGGTGGGAGGTTGAGGCAAATAGCCTGGCTGCTGATTACGCCCAGCCAGACAGCCGGGCGATTAGAAGAGCCCAGCGGGACGCGCTGTGCATCCGGGAGGCTTTGAAAGCCAGTTTCAAGGCTGAGCAGGGTACCCAGTGACTTTTAAGTTTGTGGACACAGAAGCTGAACTTGCCCCCGTTTCTTTACCCAGTTGCCGTCGACTATCCTCTCCAGTTACATACCCCCTTCACCCCATTCCCAAAAAATAAAATCTGTTCTGTTTTGTTAATGGACACCGTTGTCTTTATTACTGTTTTCGCGGGAATGTTTTAAACCTGGGACGCAGACTGTGGCGGGGGGCGGGTTTAGTGTTGTGATGCAAATGATGCTTCTAAACTCCAGGAATGACAGGCTCCGCGGTGGTGGACTGGTTGTTTCAACGGAGCCTGCCAGCCCTCCTGGCCGGGACTGCGTGTATGTGTCGGCTATGTGACTGTCTTGCAGGGGGAGGAGGGTTACAGATCCCCTGCTGCGCGGCTCTGTGATCCAGGGTAAGGACCGCTGCATAAGATCTGTAACTGCCCTCCCCCGCCACCAAGTCACAGAGCAACACCCCCCCCCACCACACAGAACATGAAAACCACTTCCCAGACTGACCAGGATAACTAGTCACTGCACTGTATATGTGCCCTGCTGCTGGACCTGCCCCCTGCTAAAGGTGACTGTCCTGTCCAATTACCAAGCCCCTTCCCCCCCCTTCAGACAGACTCTCATCTAAAAGAAGAGGATGGAAACAATAATGAACAAAAACGTATTTTTTATTAACAACCGCACATGGAACGGGGGGGTGAAACTTGGACGGGGTCTTGTGTGAGGCGGGTAGGAAAGGACTTTTCAAATTTTGGGGAATGAGAGCCTTCTAGTGGTAGAGCAGTCCGCAGGGGTGGAGTGAAATTTTTCACGGCCCCTTCCGCCCCTCCGTGTTTGGACTTTGGGTGAGGGGGGTATGGGACTTGGTGGCGGGGCAGGGCAGTTAGAGAGAGACTGCAGCGGGGCTCTCTCCTCCTGCCTCCGGTCCTGCAGAACATCCACAAGGCGGCGGAGCGTGTCCGTTTGCTCCCTCATTAGTCCAAGCAGCGTTTGAGTAGCCTGCCAGTCCTCCTGTCGCCACCTCTCCTCCCGTTCCATGTTTGCCCGGTGCATTTGGGACAAGTTCTCCCTCCACTGTGTCTGCTGGGCTGCCTGTGCTCGGGAGCATCCCATTAGTTCAGCAAACATGTCTTCCCGTGTCCTCTTCTTCCTCCTCCTAATGTGCGCTAGCCTCTGGGCAGATGTGGCTGTGGGAATTGGAAAAAGGGAGTGAATTCCTGAGACAGATCAATGTATCTGTGAACAGAGAACATAGTCTTTCAACAAGACCATGCAGAGCACCTATCACACGCGCACTGAGGACAAGGTCGAATTTTCGGCCCTCGCCTACAGTGCCTGCGGTCTTGCTGTGGCGAGCTGAGGAGCAGGGCAGGACACCGGACTTTGTCTAGCTGTCAAACATGGTAAGCCGTACACTTGTGGCTGCTTAAAACTTTAAGAGTGGCACTGGCCTCCTTTCGCATAGAAAGCAATGCGAGTCTCTGCTGGCAGCAATCCTGCAAGCATGAACTCTGGCCCTGTCCCACCCCCTCGCGGCTGTAAACCGCGTGGCTGTAAACCGGCGGTTGCAGTTCTGTAAAGGGATGGGCAAGCAGTCCCAATACTAACTTTCCCCTACCTAATTCACAGCAGGGAGTCATGCCAGACATCACCCTCCTGAAGGTCTCGGAGAGCCAGAAGGAGCGGATGCTTCGTGACAGCCTGCAGAAACCGGGGCCATTTGCTGCAATGCTCTGCAAGGCCATGATCCCCGAGTACCTGCTGGCGTTGTGGCAGGGAAACGTCTCATACCATGGGGGGCCTAACAAGCTCTCCCTGCCCAGGAACCTGCTCATGAGGCTTGAAAAACACCTGCAGGAGACCTATGAGGAGTTCTCCCCGGAGGATGTCGCCTCTATCCCCGGATACATTGACCAGTTTTTGGGTTAGGTGCCCTTGGAGGGACAAAAGAGTGCAGCGTTTTGGGCAGTATAATCATGAAGCGGACATTGTGAAATTTTTTGAAAATAGACTATATATTGAAGCGCCCAAAGACAGACTAATCATGATACACTTTGCACAGATTCCCGTTTTGTTGGACTTTCCTGTTTACATGTTTTGAAGCACTTTACCCACTGTTAATATTTTAAATCTTCCTGTTTTGTTGTAAATAAATGTTTACATGTTTTAAAGCACTTTACCTATTGTTAATATTTTAAATATGCCAGTTATGTTATAAATAAATGTTTAGATATTTAAAACACTTACTGCTTGATCCTTCCCCTGAATCTGTGTCTGGGATAACGGCTGGGGAGGGTTGGTAGGGGATCTCTGTGAGGGTGATGAAGAGCTCCTGGCTGTCGGGCAAATCAGCGTTGTAAGCGCTGTCGACTGCCTCGTTCTCCTCATCTCCTTCCTCCTCTTCCCCGTCCGCTGAGGAACCGGCCGCGGACAATATCCCATCCTCAGAGTCCACGGTCAGGGGTGGGGTAGTGGTGGCGGCCGCACCTAGGATGGAATGCAGTGCCTCGTAGAAACGGGATGTGTGGGGCTGGGATCCGGAGCGTCCGTTTGCCTCTTTGGTCTTCTGGTAGCCTTGTCTCAGCTCCTTGAT